GGCAAACAGCCACGCTCCCCCCCCCCGCATTTTCCTGCCCATGTGCCCGCGGCCATAAGCGCTTTTATATAAAAATCTCAAAATTGACTGTTCCACTAGAAGCCATCACACTCCCAAATGCATACCAGGAAGAATTACCAAGAAGGTATTTGGATATATTGGACTCCAAAGATCGGTTGAAACCATTAGAAGACCAACGCTTGCCAGATGTGTCCATGTGATCGCGCCCGTTAAATCCGCCTGGCATTCATCCCTCTTGCGTGGCTAATTGTGCGTGTGATCGGAGCCCTAATGACTTTTAAATGACTCCAAAAGAGCTTAACCAAGAGTATGTTTTAAAATCATATCTTAAGCTCAAGACAAAGTGTCTTCTCCAGGAACTGCTATTTTATTGCCTCTGTCTATGCCGGCACCTCCCACATGTAGCAAGGTCTGTAACAGCAAGTTAATTAAGATACTTTTCTTTTTTCCTGGTGCAAAGAAAACAGTTGTAATCTTTTCTGCTGGGAGAACTGCCTGGCGAATAAGAAAAGGAAACGGGAAAGAGAGTTGTTGAGCCTTTTTATTGGCGGCTGTAAAAGGGCTCGAGATGGAGAGGATTTTCCCTCCCACCAGCCAGCAAGCAGATGAAAATTGATGACTACATGGGTTCAGATGTTTCCCCTCATGCTTGTACCATTCCTACTTCAAACTGCTTTGCACCTCTGGCTAATCTTTTGCCTGACACCAATGTAGTAAAGACATGGGGAGAGGCACTTCTAGTCCAAGGAGACAACAAAGGCAACACAGTTGTTAAACACGCCAACACCAGTAATGGTACTATCAACTCAGGGGCTCTTATCCAGTTATCTGTTCAGTTAACTGCTAAAACAGTGGATGCTATTTTTTAAAGAATTAAGCTAACTGAAGCTAAAATTAATCAACTCACCAAGATGGTCTCAGTGTTCTGGCGAGAGATCAGATTATGACAGCCTCCAAACAGGAAACCATCCAGACTCAACTGTCTTGGAGACCAAACAGAGAAAAGGCAAAACCTCCTGGAGATATCAAGCAGATGCAGCACAATTCTAGCTAAAACTGCAGGCTTGCAAAATATGCATAATGGTCTGCAAATATAAAGGTCAAACACCGTCATGGAAGCAAGCTGCTCACCATCTAAAAGCCCTTTTTGGCAAGGCAAAGCCTTCACTAGACTTAATCCAGGTAGTGCCATTTCATAATCAGAACCAAGCACAAGGAGTAGTGCTGACTCTTAGAAGCTCCAGGGGTCCTAGAACAATGATGTAACAGAAAGAATTCTTGCACTTATTGATCATGGGACCAGTCACATTCTCTCAGTCTAATTTACCTCACAGGGTTGTTGTGAGGACACAATGGAAGAGAGGAAAATGATGTATGCCACCTTGGATTGCCATCGGGGAGAAAGGCATGGTACAAATGAATTAAATAAAATCTCAATTGTAAAGGCATCAAACTGTCTGGTGTCAAACCTCCCCTAGGAACAGCTCTGCATCATATGTACACTTCACCTGTAGCATGTCTGTCCACCTACCACTGTCTCTTGGACTTCGTTTGTTATCTGAAAAATGCTCATAGCTGCCACAATATCACGGGCACATGAGGACAAATTTTCTCCATCAGCCACAGCCTTCTGGTAGCTTGCAGTTGCATAGGAGACCATCTCTTCCTCAGTTTTGAAGTCTGTTTTCCAAACATACAGACATAAAAACATGTAACTGACAAAAAACAAGAATTTGACACAAATGCTTCATACAATCCCAGTAATACTAATGAGCCACTAAACTTTATTTTGGAGCAAGTACCTCTTCCATTTAATAAGGAGATGGTAGAAAACAGTGGAGGAGAGGAAGCAGTATGTAACAGCTCAATCTCGTCATATCTTGGAAGTTAGGTGGGGTTGGTACTTGGATGGGAGACCCCCAAGGAAGACTCTGCAGAGAAATGCACAATCTCTGCTTCTCACCTGCCTTGAAAGCTACATAAGTCGGTTGCAACTTTATGGCACTTACGTAGAAGACAGTAGCAGTGCCTTTTCCAATGAATGGTAAAAAGCAGATTCCAACATTGTGTGTGTTACACAGCAGCCATCACAAAGACATCTGTGTGGCAGCAGCCCAGTGTGTGAAGCTCAGGATTGCAACAGCAAGGAAACTCACACAGTTCTGCTCCCCCACAGACCAGTGTCTACTGCTAACACCATCCACTCTCCCGCAACCAAAGGCTATCCTGTCTTAAGCTGCTTAACTCCCCCCCCCATATGCCTTTTACTATAAAGACATGGTGAAATCCTAAGCAGTCACACTTTTTAAGCCCGTTATCTTCAATGGACTTAGAAGAACGTAACCCTGTTTAGGATTGCACTGCCGTACTCTTCACTGCTTCCCTTCCCCTATTCTTAATCCAGAAACTCAGCACTCGCCATCAGTATGCTACAACATAACACCCCTGAAACAGGAGTAGCCTCCTGCTTTTACCCCATAAAGCATACTGGATGCTAGTAAAGACAGCAGCATACAGAATTCCATATTCTCTTCCACTCTCCAACCCCATTTATTTCACATATTCATACTCTGCTTTAGGGCTAGACTGGCTCCCAAAGCCCCTTACAGTTAAAATCCATGATCATACCCAAGTATGCATGTATCTGTGTGTGCATGCATGACAGGGCAGAAGGAGGGAGACAACTGCCATTCACTCTTTTAGCTTTAGCTCCCATCCCTTCAGTGGGTCTTGCCATAGCTCTTAAGGCCAGTCCACTCCTTGCTTGTCATTTTAATTGTAATCAGTTGCTAAGACACAGAATCCCATTATCTCAATTAAAGACATTACTACAGCAGCATCTATTTATTTATTTACTTCATTCATACCCTGCCTTTCTTCCCAATGGGAACCAAATCAGCTTACCTTGTTCTCCTCCTCCATTTTATTTCCACAGCTATCGTATGAAGTAGGTTAGGCTGAGAATGTGCAAATGGACCAAGGTCACCCAGCAGCCTTTCATGGCAGAGCAGGGATCTGAATCAGGGTCTCCCAGTTCCTAATCCAGCCCTCTAACCACCACACTGGCACATACTGCATTGCCGTCTTGCAGAACACAGTTGGCTGGAGGTAATACAGAGGGGAGTGCCAGAGATGCTAGTGCACTGACATGCTGATCTCATTTTACACATACCTAATTTAGCTCTCACAGTTCTTTCCTTTTCTTCCACTCCGTCATCTGCTCTTCTAGGCAGCAGCCTTTGGGCTACTTTCTCGCTTACTGCCAGCTCTTCGTCTGGCTGGAGCTTTTGGGCTCTCATGTTCAGCCTCGCAACGTTCAGCATCTTAAGGGAACGAGGCATGGTCTTCATCTTCTGCCTGACAGGAGTCTGGGGAGCGCCATCTGCCCAAATTTTTAAAAAGTGTGTCCAGATAAATCACAGATGATCATCATCCAACAAACCAAGCACGCGAGCACATTCAAATGTTGTAAAGCTTTATGTAATCAAGGACAGCAGAACTTATTCTGTAAAAAAGATAAGTACAGGGGATGGTTGTCATGCAAAACACCAAGAAGACCAGCAAAAACATAAATTGTGCATACGCCTCTTTTTGTGATCCCGTCGACGAGATGTAGCAGAGGCTTTGGAGGCTCTCTGGTGGTAAAATTCAGACAGGCTATGGGTCAGCTCCATTTCTGGCTTCCGTGTCTCTTCCACAGTAGCTGGAGCTCCTTGCAGCAACCTGTAGTGAGAAAATCAAAATAAGGGTTATTGGCCAAAGGAGAAAGAAAGCTGCTTCTCCCTGCTGCAGAGGACAGCTTGTGGAACTTAACATCCTTGCATTGGCTAGGGACCAGAATACCTATTTTCCTGTACCACTTAACTCAGTCATGGTACCCTGTGCCATTCCAGACTGCATGGCTGCATGGTCTTGCCTGCAAGAATGGTTACATGTGAAAGACTGTTAGAATGGAAAAACCACACAGGAACCTATATTTTGCTGATTAAATGGGATCCCTGCTACAGTTCACAGCCCAGGATCTGGGACAAGATTGGGGCCACTTGCAGACAATATTTTCTGCTCCAATTGGTACAGCCATGTTCCCCTCTCAAGCCAATGTTAGGGCACCTTACACAGGCATTCTCCCTCCCACCCCTTCTAACCATCACTGCGGTGACATCTGGGAACATGAGGACCCTCCACCAGCTTGCCACAGTAGGGAAAGGCAGAGCATTTTATTTGACCACCACTAATTCCATCCATGTAGCCGGAATGTAATACAGGGATCCAAAACTGATTAAACTGTGTGTTCAGCCTGCACCAATTTTTCAAACCAAGTGATTTATCGTAACACAATCTTTTTTAAAAAAGAGAGAGAAATGAGCTTGAAATAAACAACCTCCCAAGGGAACTCTTGGTATTTAGGAGGCGGTGAAGACAGTTTTATACATGATGGCATTTGGTTCATTCTCCTGCCTACTGGCAGTTTTAAGTTATTGATTTTAACACACAGTTTTCATGTATTTTATTGTATTTTATCATTTACATTGTAAGCTGCCTTAAGTTCCTATAAGGTAGAAAGTTGCTAATAAATGCTTTATATAAATAACATAATTCCTGTTATTTTACTTCATTTATACCCTGCCTTGGTCCCCAATGGGCACTAAAAGCAGCTTATAACATTCTCCTCTCCTCCATTATATACTCTCAACAACCCTGTGAGGCAGGCTAGGCTGAGAGAGTGTGACTGTCCCAAGGTCACCCAGCAAACTTCCAGGGCAGAGTGGGGATTTGAACCCGGGTCTCCATGATCCTAGTCTGCCACTCTAACCAATACACCATACTGAGTGTCCGTACAGTTCTGGAGCTCAGTTCAATGGGACTAAAATTGTATGTTAATGAGGCTAATTAGGGAGCATCCTGCACCCTAGGTCTGCCTTACTCTAATGTAAGACTGTCCCTGAAGATTACCTTAATGATTCCATCAAAGGGGAGCTTCCTCCACACAGGTTTGACAATAGGTACCAGCTTTCAATCACTACAGGGCTCCAGCGATGTGTCCAAAACAGCTCCTGCTGTACCCACTCTGGAAGTGTAGTCTCTGCTGGACATGTGTACGTACACACACAAACACAAAAGAAATTCTAAATAATAATCAATGTCCTTAGCCTCCCCCAGCCAAAAGAATTCAGCCTCAAATCCTATGAAGATTTACTCAGATGTCAAATCACAATGGGTTCACTTGTGCTTATTCCCCGGTTTAAACGTGCCCAGGATTTTACCTTAGACAAAATGGCTGTGCCATCAGAAAAAAAATGTACTGATTAGAGAAGAACAAGAGTGAAACCAGGAACCAAAAAGATCAGATACCTGTTGTGTCTGATAAAGTGGCTTTGATTTTCAAAACGAAAAGCATCTCAAGAAAAGAGCTCAGAGTCACAAAAGCTCATGCTGGAATGCGGTTAGTCTTTAAAATATTACTGGACTTTTGTTTTAAGGCACTCAGATCAAAGGCTTTCAAACTGTTTGGAGGAACCCTCAGTAGCTCAGAAGGTAGTTACAGACATTTCCTAAAAGACAGCTTGCAGCCAGCTACCAATTTTCCCTTCTGACAGATTGCTGGGCATGTTTTAGGCCTCTTTCTTTCACATGAGCCAACAGGACTTGATGGCACCTCACAAAAATCACAGACAACTCCCTAAATCTTTTGCAATATACAAGGGTTCTTCAGCAGGTAACATTGAAGGATTCCCTCAAGTTGTATTAAAAATGGCAGTTTTCAATATGCAAATACACTTACCAGGGCTAACTGGGCCATTTTCTTTCAGGTCATTTACTTGATTGAGCATGCTGCTCACCATTTCAGGGGAGCTAAAGTCATCCTCCGTGGAAAGGTTCCCTTCCTCAGCAGTCTGAAGGAGGCATCTTTCAACTTCAGCCATTCTTTCAGCACACAGAAGAGAAAGAACAGCAGCAGTACTGGAGATGGGGGAAAAAATCCCAGTACAGGGAGAACAGGATCCTGATGGAGACACGTCAGCAACCTTCCCAACAAGAAACAAAGATCAAGGAAAAGTTACACAGGTACACAAGCAAGAGTTACACAGAGTTACCAACCTAGGTGATGCACAGTAATTCAGAAACAGCTAGATGACTCCGGCTGCAGCACTAAGAACACCTTCATCAGAGTAAGCCCCAATGAATAAAATGGGACTTACTTCCAAGTAGACTAGTTTAGGATTGCTCCCTCAAGCCACCCGTAAAAACCAACAAAATCTGGAGAGGAAAGGCTGAGGGACTTGGGAATGTTCAGCCTGGAGAAGAGGGAGGACATGATTGCTCTCTTGAAGTATTTGAAGGGCTGTCACTTAGAGGAGGGCAGGGAGCTGTTCCTGTTGGCAGCGGAGGACAGGACTCGCAATCATGGGTTTAAATTAAGGGTGGGAAGGTACCAGCTGAATATTAGGGAAAACTTTTTTACAGTAAGAGTTGTGCAACAATGGAATCAGCAGCCTAGGGAGATGGTGGGCTCCCCCTCACCGGCAGTCTGTAACCAGCATCTGGACAAACACTTGTCAGGGATGCTCTAGGCTGATCCTGCATTGAGCGGGGGGTTGGACTAGATGGCCTGTATGGACCCTTCCAACTCTGTGATTCTATGAGCAAAAGCAGTGGTGGCAATACAGAATTTATGAGGAATGAACTAACCAACAGAACTGGCCCAAGAATGGTACTAAGGAGTTCAGTATAGTTCCCTGTTCAAAGCTAAATAAAGTGCAAGTCTAGACAGTGTTGAAGACCCTTTGGGAAACCCATTCCTGTGCTGTAGAAAGATGGGACATAAAAGAAATAAAGAGGCACAGTCCTGCCCTGCACAATATCTGTTAACTTATCTTTTTGTAACTAGACATAAGACATTATTCAAAACAGAATGGGCCACTTACCAGATGTAATCCTTGAGCCAGGATACACCTTACAAGATGCTGAAACAAAGACATCTCCTGAACAGACTGGCCCAGTGGGGAACTCTGTATTATCCAGCTCTCTGCAGGGAAGCTACTAGTATGCATCATATTCCAGCCTGCCACTGTGCATTTAAGAAAAATACTGACTGGATTCTCAAAACACCTTTGGCTCACAGTCAAGGGCTCCAGGGTCACAGCACAGCTCTGTGGCTTTTGTATTCCTGTTCAAGGCAATAAACAGAAGACAGTGAGACTGAAAATAAGCTTTCAAAGAAGGAGAAATAAGCAAACCAACCAAGATATAGTAATGGATTAAGTAAACTGGTAACTCTGGAAAGAGCAAAGGTTAGCACTTTGTTTACTAGCCTGGGATGCACAGAAAGAAATAAACATGTCAACAAAAGCAAGGAATGCCTTCCCCAAAATTTATCTGGGACAGGCATTAACACAACAACTTCCTTTCTGCTATGTGGCCCTTTTTTAATGGTATTACATTTGCTACTTTCCATTCCTCATGAGGATGACTTTAGCAATAAGTTGCATATTTGCATTAAGAATTCCAGGCAGCCTAGTTCAGAGTTCAATTTCATGATTGCTGTTACTTAGATAATTTAATTTCGTTAAGCCTTACTGCATAAAACTAGATCCATTAACTCATCCAGAGATACAAATACAGACCAACACAAAGTCTACTTTTCATAGGACCTTGAGTTCCCCTAATTTGGTCAAGAATCCCTTACAGGATATAATAGCAGCATTACTTTCATTACCATCACTCTTTAGAAATAGCATTCCTTCCAGGTGGGGGAATGATGCTTGTAATGCAGAAGGTGAAGAGAATAGACAGTTCAGGGTTGAATCCAAAGGCAAGATTGTAGCCCATGATGAGAACAGCTTAGGCGATATGGACTCCAAAGGGAAGGTCTGCGTTCTGTGACAATTTAAATGGCGAATGAAGATTTCTGATGGCAAAATGGTGCCCTTCAAGATGCGCAGCAGTTCTGCCAATGTGTGGTACCCAACATGATCTGGAGAATCAAGAGGCTGAAAGAAGAAAACAGAAAGGCTCCACTTAGTGATATCAGAGAGGGGATAACAGTAAAGTGTATGCTACGAAACCTATATGATACAAAATAAAAGCTGTAATTCAAGATGCTATTTTTGTTATTAAATATAGTTCCCTGTACATGAAAACTGTTGTTCTTAATACCATGCAAAGAACTGTTCACTTCCAGCATTTCTCTGTTGTAGCGAAGAGGCCTGCCTATACATTTGTCTGGCATGCTTTTTAGAAAAAGCAGCAGCATGAGTATAAATGGGCAATTTTTACAGTGTAGGATGGTAAGCAGTGGGGTACTGCAGGGCTCAGTACTGGGTCCGATGCTTTTTAACCTCTTCATTCATTAATTAAGCTGTGAAGTGGCTAAATTTGCAGATGGCACAAAATTGTTCAGGGTGGTGAGAGCCAAGGAGGATTGTGAGGCACTCCAAAGGGATCTGTCAAGGATGGGCGAGTGGGCATCAATGTGGCAAATGGGGTTCAATGTGGCCACATTCAAAGTGATGCACATTGGGGCTATAAATCCTAAATATAAATACACATTGATGGGGTCCGAACTGGAGGAGACTGACCAAGACAGAGATCTTGGAGTCATAGTAGATAACTCACTGAAAATGTTGTCAGTGTGCGACTGCAATAAAAAGGCCAACGCTATGCTGGGGATTATTAGGAAGGGAATTGAAAACAAATCAGCCAGTATCATAATGCCCCTGAATAAATCAATGGTGCGTTCTCATTTAGAATACTGTGTGCAATTCTGGTCACCTCACCTCAGAAAGAATATTATAGTATTGTGAAAAGTGCAGAAAAGGGCAACTAGAATGATAAAAAGGTTGGAACATTTTTCTTATGAAGAAAGGTTAAAGTGCTTGGGGTTCTTTAGCTTGGAAAAACAACAGCTGAGGAGTGACATGATCGAGGTTTACAAGATTATGCATGGGATAGAGCAGGTTGAGAAAGAAGTACTTTTCTCCCTTTCTCACAATACAAAAATTCGTGGGCACTCAATGAAATTGCTGAGCAGTCGGGTTAGAACACATAAAAGGAAGTACTTCTTCACCCAAAGAGTGATTAACACATGGAATTCACTGCTACAGGAGTGGTGGCAATTACAAGCATGGACAGCTTCAAGAGGGAATTGGATAAACCTATGGAGCAGAAGTCCATCAGCGGCTATTAGCCAGAAGGTATAGATAGGAACTCTTGGTCTGGGACAAGCGATGCTCTGTATCCTTGGTGCTTGGGTGAGGGGCAACAGTGGGAGGGCTTCTAGTGTCCTGGTGTACCTCCTGATGTCTAGTGTCCTGGTGTACCTCCTGATGTCTAGTGTCCTGGTGTACCTCCTGATGGCACCTGGTATTTTTGGCCATTGTGTGACAGAGTGTTGCACTGGATGGGCCATTCGCCTGCATTAAAAGCAGGGTTGTAAAAAAAGGTACTTGTAACAGCAGACTTCAAGTGACCAGGGAGGGAAGCACTATAAAAGACCTCCCTCCTTTGGGCTACTTATGCCACACAAGTACAATGTGTGTGTACATGTAGGCTAGAGATAGGCTGGTGATATTTATAGATTATATGTCAGGCTGATAAGACACACCAAAAAATGCTGTTATTTCTATTTTATAGATAGGGGAAAAGGACAAGTGGGCAAAACTCAGATACTTCAGTTTTTACGAAACAAAAATCAGTAACTAAACCACTTTCTTTTAAACAAATCAAGAACTAAGGATATCCCCCCAAAGAAAAAGTGACTTTTCTTCCAACAATGCAAACAATTGTCATCCCAGGCATGATTGTTAGCAATGAACCTGCAATCATCTCCTCCCATTAAAAGGCAAGTCCACATAAAGCTCTCTGTGAACAACCACACGGTATGTTGAAATTCCTGCAGGGACTACATGTATTTACATGGACAAGCAAGGTATCAGTGAATGCTGAACACAGGCTCTGCCTGATTTAGAACAGTAATCCTCAAATGGGTCAGACCTGTGGCTACACACGAGAGGAGCGTATGAATGGTGGCAACAGATAGAGCTGTAGCACTATTATATCCCATATCCCGGTGAAGCAAATCAGTACCTCAATGGTCACATTTGACACAGATCTCTGCCAAAGATCGACACAAAAGAAACCCAAGATTATACTCCATGTTCTTGTTCCAATACACTGATGTATTTCACACACAAGGGTTCCAACATGCATAACTGGTTTGTGCAAGGGTGGCCTTCAATAATATTCACTTACACAGTGGGGGCTACTCTGCACATGTATCCATACATATATGCAGTTCTTCCCTCTGTTAAATTGAATATTGTAATCTGTGTGCACCAAAGCTCCACAGATGCATCAGAATGCACACAATGCAGGCACACCCAGCCTTAAACATTAATGAGATCTGGGCTCAAATGTCAACTCAGACAGGAAATTCACAGGATGACCAATCATCATGCTCACTCACCTTCTCTTGCAACCCACCCTAGTTTTCAGTTTTACTGTATCAATAAAATAGTAATTTCCACATATTCTGTCCTCTGCTTCTTGGAGGAAGACATGGAGTATAAGGTCCTCTGCTTCTTGGAGGAAGACATGGATATGTGTGCTTAACAAAATTCACATAGAAAGGTTAGCTTATCATTTGAGATTCAGCATCACAAGCAATGTTTTCTCTAAGCTGTGGAGTCTTGTGAGCAAAAATTCTACTTTCTGAGCTACTGGCATTAAAGTTGTGAGCAAGCGATTTGACTACTGTATAAATTAGTTTGCTCTGGAGCCATCCTTCCTGAGCTAAGACAAAAATGTGTGAGCCAGAGGCTAAAAAACTGTGAGCTAGCTCACAGTAACTCAGCTTAGAGGGAACACTGATCACAAGTGATTAATTCTCTCATTACCGTGGAGTCATCAGCAGTGTCCACCCAATGCAAAGTGATTTTCTGAGCTGCCATCATTTCCTGAATTCCCTTGGGTATGAATTTTTCTGATAGGTCCTGCAAAGTAGGCAGCTCATGAGACAAATGAGCATGACTTCCAGAAACAAAGTGCTGCAATTCTCTCTGGGAATGAGGGCAGGGAGAGAAGAGAAAAACGGTATTCATAAAATCCTCAGAAGGATTAGAGCTCCTTTGGGGCTTCTCTGAAGTCACAGTTAATTTGCTCTTCTGGCTCCTCAACACCACCTTGGCTGGAGAAGCAATTTCAGGTCGGTCCCACTGATAATCAAGTAATGCTTCTTTCAGCATGTTCTGAGCAAGAGTGGCTCGAGAAGATGATCCAGGCAAGTTCAAAGCATGGTAACAGTTTTCAAACCTGGCCTCTAGCTCCTCTTCAAAATCTTCCCAGCTGCGAGATCCAAGTTCATGGAAACTGCCTACCCGTGAAATTCTGCCCTGGACACCTAAGGAGTCAAAGAACTTGAAGCCCCACTGGACCTTGTCGAGGCCAAACCTGCTGCCCAAATAGTTCAGGATCTTCAAGGTGCCCAGATGAAGATGAGCCTTCTGCACAGAACTGGCCGTGTCCAGGAGAAAGACAACATTGTGGGAGCAGGTCATGATGCTGCGGCAGATATTCTGTATTCCAGTCACCTTGTACTTCACCCAGACTTAGCAAGCAGGCAACTCTGAGGAACATCACAGTCCTCTACTCAGTTTTCATCACAGTGCTTTTAGCCTTTCAGGCATGCTCACTGGGAAATGTCCCACTGAGATCTTATTTCAAAAGCAAGCACATTAGACAGCCAGCCACCCCCCACTCGTTAGCGCAACCTAAAATACACAATCCCCAAATCTTTCTGCTTCATCTGCTAACAAAATCATATCTAACATACCTGTTTCCACTATATCCCCACCACTATGCTCCTGTTGCCCTACCTAACTGTCCCCCTCCGTTTGCCCTTCTTCCGTGCACCCTGGCCTACAAGGACCTTTCAATGAGGTGCTGCTAGTAGGAAGCCCCCGCCACGCCGTGCCCCACAGAGCGCTGACCCACGGCTTCAAGACTTGAGCCCGACCCTGCCATACGTCCCCCTCCCCCGCCACTATTTGCGGGGTCCCAGTCTAGGGCGCCGTCATTAGCCCCCGGATCAAATCACCCAACCCAACTCTGGCGCGCTCGCCACCTCGGTCTCCCATTGGCTCCAGGGCGCTCCCCTGCCATTGGGTCCCGGTGACTTTCTAGACCCCGCCCTCAATCTCGCGACTTCCCAGCGTGCTTTCCTTTCCACCACTGATCGCGATTGGCTGTCGCTTTTCGGCGGAAACGCGGAGGGAGGGAGGGCAGAGACACTCGGCATACATTTCCGGTAAAAAATAAAAACAATCTTTTTTGGCCGCTATAGGCCATGACTTCTTTATGTCGTTTTTTAAAAAATCGGAACAGCGGTCACTGCGGGTGTGGAGGGGGAGGTATTTGTGAATTTGTGAATAAATAAATAAATAAATAAATAAATAAATAAATAAATTTCCTGCCTTGTGCAGGGGGTTGGACTAGATGACTCTGAGGTACCGTCCAACTCTATGATTCGAACCGCTTTCAGTAGCCGTCGCTCCGGCGCATGCGCATAAAGATGATAGAGTTTTGTCCTGGACGGTCCTCCTTGCCTAGTTCCGTTGTTGGCGCCGAGGAGGCGAAGGGCGGGTTTTTTGAACGGCGATGGCGAGGTTGCTACCGCCGCGCTCTGTAGAACAGGCCTCCTTGTCTGTGATACCATCTCCGGGTAGCGAAGACCAAGAAGACACAATGAAGGCGGTGGCCGGGGAAGAGCAACAGCCGATGGTGTTCTTGTGCGCGGGCTGTAAGCGGGCGGTGGGAGACACGCTGGACTGGGAGGCCAACGACGAAAACACCAGATGTCTCCTCCTCAGGAGTGAGCGCGCCTAGACTGGGCCGAGGGGATGGCGGGGCGGGGAAGAGAAGAAAAGGCTCTTCACAGCTTATTTCCTTGAGAAAGAGGGCTTTCTCATCTTTATCTACTAGAAAACTTTTTCGTCTTGTCAGTGTCTTAGTACGGATGCAAGGCAGTTTGCGAAATATTTAAAAAGCGGGTAAAACCAAACCGCAGCGTAACTTTGCATAGTGGTGATTAGGCTTGGTGATTAGGTAGATTGTTCCACATTGATATGGTAGCCACCGAAAGAGCCCAAGACCAGGTAGTAGCAGATTCAACCCCCATACAGCCAAAAAACCTTCAGCCCTGAACAAAGGGCGAGAGACTTTCCCAAGTGTACAATGAGAAGATGGGCAATTTATATCAGTTATGTATCTCCTGTATATTCGTGAATTGACGTCCAAGAATGGGGGGAAGGGGATAGGTTGTTCTGAAAGTTTCCATTCTTGTTTCTAAGGTTCTCATGTTTGAGTGCTTATGAGTGGCATGACTGCATATTGCCCAAGATGATGTTTCTCTGATTTTTATCCTGTTATTCAAAGCGCTCTGGTTGATTTTTGGTCCCTTCTGCCCATTTTATTCTCAAAACCAGTGGGAGCCAGTGTAGTGGTTAAGAAGAGTTGGTTTTTATACCCCGCCCTTCACTACCCGAAGGAGTCTCAGAGCAGCTTACAGTTGCCTTCCCTTCCTCTCTCCACAACAGACACCCTGTGAGGTAGGTGGGACTGTGAGAGCTCTGAGAGAACTGACTGACCCAAGGTCACCCAGCTGGCTTCATGTGAAGAAGTGGGGAATCATTAGAGTCTGTTGCTCTTAACCACGATACCACACTGGCTCTAAGAGGGAGGCCTGGGTTTGAATCCCCACTCATGCTATGGAAGTTTGCTGGGTGACCTTGGGCCAGTCACACTGTCAGCCTGTTAGGGGAGTTTGCTAAAACCCATCACAACTCCCCCCCCCCCCCCCAATCAGTCTGGAACAGAAAAAGAGTTACAGCTTTTGCTGACAGAGTATACAATTTTATTAAGAATGATCATCCTTGATCCTAAGCTGGCACACTGAACAGATACAGAGTTCCTTTTTTAAAAATTAAAAAAGGATGGAGCTCAGAGTCTGTTATTTTGTAAAGTGTTTATCCATTCTGTTCCCAAACATAATTCACCCTTCCCTCTGTTTAAATTACATCCACATTCCTAAGAGGGAGAAAGGAAAACAAACCATATACTCTGCGGGCTAATGTGCACCAACCCTTGACTGAGGTAATGGTGCTAAGAGATCAGATTTACAGTGTGTGTGTGGGAAGGAATAGTAATATCTGTAAAATGTATCAAGTCGACATAGGCTCACTAATCAAAGGTCCTGTCCTTTCATCTATTAGCTTCATTGACCAGAGGTCTTAAGCCAAACGTACAAGCAGCTACTATAAAACGCATTACATATAATTACAAGATAATTTAGACCAAACATTTTTACAATAAAAACTAATAAAAATACTCATAAACAATATTAATCAACATTTTATAAACTTCCATACATTCTATAAAATCCCATGATATTATGGAAATTAGTTTTAGAATTTTAAAATTTGCATACATAAAACTACCTACAGCATTTCAAAGCCGCTTTAAAAATAGCACTATCAATAGATATTTTGCCACAATGTTTTTCCAACTGTAGTGCTAAGTGGCCGTTTTGCTAAAAAACAGTATTCAGATAGATTGTGCGATTGTGGATCAGGTGCAATAGAGACCTTAGATCATCTTATGTTATTTTGCCACCAGTGGATTGGTCCCAGATCCTGTTGGATGACTCCTATTTTACATAAGACTTCATGAAAAGTATATCTTGGCTCCTTTACGATATGGTGCAAGCAGCTCACCTGCTTCTGTTAAGGATGTTGGACATGAAGACAGTTGCAGGCCCTTGCTGGGTACTGTTTCTAATTATGCTTATCAGTTGTTTGACTAGAACACTGTAGCATGACCCAGTTGCAATGGGAACCTACCTTGGACCAGAAGGCAATGCCATTTCACTGCCATGCCTTGTTGTTCCATGTAAGCCCATGGTAAAGTGACTGGGCAGAGTGTTTAATGTAATTGTATCTTTCCCTGTTATAGGTGTTTCTCCTACTGTCACTGTGGACAAAGAGCAAAAGCTTTCAAGCTGGCCAGAAGAGCGTGGCTGGTAAGCAGTGTTCAGCTCCAAAGGGAAAGTTAAATATGCCTTATAGCTAGCACATCCTTTTTTACCCTTTTTATTTTGCTTTTAAAAATCTATATGAGCTAGTAAAGATCATGTTTGGGTTCATAGTGCCAACTAGGATCTGGGAGACCCAGATTTGAATCTCCATTCTGCCCTGACTTAGGTGCTTTTGTGACTTAGGTGCTTTTGTGAGCATAAAATTGAGAATTTTATAGGCTATTGAGTCTGCAGTGGGGAGAAAGTAGTAGTAGGAAGTCATTTTTGTAGTTAATTTACCGAGTTTACACCCTGCCTGTCTGCTCTCATCAGGGCCACCCAGGTGGCTAACAGCTTAAAAATATAGGTACATAATAAACACACATGCTAAAAACCATTAAAACTAACTGAAACTGAGCTCGCTTGCGGGGAGGGCGGGGTATAAATATAATGAAGTAAATAAATAAATATCTAGGCTGCTGTGTGTTGGCTCACAGGACGGAATGTTATTTCAATATGATATATGTATACATTGAGATAGATATTGAAACTACTCTTTTCGGTTGTGGTTGTTCAATAATATGTCTCTCACTTGCAGAAAGTGGAACATTGCTGTGTTCTAAACTATAAGATGTTTGGGGTTTGCTATTTTATTTTTGATTTTTAGTGAATTTTTTTAGCTATTGTAAGCCATCTTGAAGCACAAGGGAAGTAGGAATATAAGTGTTTTAATAATCAAATAAATGACGTTAGCATAACCGTGGTTTGTCTCTAAGTAAGTTGTTAATTTTTTATTTTTGCTTTTGTAGTATGCTTGAAACTTTAATTTGTTCTGGATGCAAAATGACACTTGGAAGCATTTACAGATGCACCCCAAGACATCTGGATTATAAACGAGATTTGTATTGTTTGAATATTGACTGCCTTGAAAGGTAAGAAATAACAGTTAAAATTGCAAGGTAAACTTTCAATTTTTTATCATTAGATTGGGGAATTTAAATACAGTGAGCCTTGGATAAGAGTCTCAAAGTTCTGGAGCGACTTCTCTTGTGCAAGGAATTTGATGAAAGATACTCCTTGCCAGGGTTGCCAACTGGGCTGGAGAAAAATGTTCTTTCCCTTTAATAGAGGTTTATTGTGTGGAAATGGATCACTGAAGCTTTACAGGACATGGTGATAACACACCATTAAGCCTCTGTTAAAGGGACTTGATATTTTTCTTTCCAGGCAGCTGGCAACTATACTCCTTTGCTCCTACCTTTAAATTTCAGGAAAGGGGTTTTAGGTTTTTTGTGCATTGGTGTGTCCCCCCTGAAACACATTTTCATTCTGATGTACGTGGAGTGGGGGGGAAGTCAGAACTGGCTCTCAGTCTTGCTGGTATTTAAGTGGATGGCAATGAACACAGCCTCCTTCCAGCCTTCAGATTCTTACGGTTATAATGGTTTTATGTCCACTGATGTCACTATTACCTATGCAGATCAACTCATTGGCGCTAAGAAAAGAAGAGACGTTTTTTAAAAATTCATATGATTATATGCAGATGATTTGCCTTAGAATCATAGAGCTGGAGCAGGGTCATCTAGTCCAAACCCCTGCACAATGCAGGAAATTCACAAATACCTCCCCCTCCACACCCCCAGTGACTGCTGTTCCATGCCCAGAAGATTAACAAAAGTAAGGGAAAATTGCTGCAAACGTGCATACAAATAATTGACAATAGTATAAACACTTAAACTTGTGATGCCCAGAAGATAACAGGAAACCCCCACGATCTCCAGCCAAATTCGCTTGGAGAAAAATGGTTTCTTGACCCCAAAGTGGTGATCAGCATTTCCCTGGGCGTGTAAGAAAGGGACACAAGAACTAAGCGCTGATGCAGTCCTTACTGCCCTCCCTCATGATAATCAGCATTGCTGTCAGACGGCCATCTAGCCTCTGTTTGAAAACCTCCAAAGAAGGAGAGCCCACCACCTACTGAGAAACCGCTGCCCACCACCTACTGAGTAACCGCTCTGTCAGGAAGTTCTTCCTAATGTTTAGCTGAAAATTCTTCTGATTTAATTTCAACCCATTGGTTTTGATCCAACCTTCTGGAGCGACAGAAAACAACTCCGTACCATCCTCTAGATGACAGCCCTTCAAGTACTTGAGGATGGTTATCATGTCACCTCTCAGTTGTCTCCTCTCCAGGCTAAACATACCCAGCTCTTTCAACCTTTCCACATAGTGAGGGGTCTGGAGACCAAATCCTATCTTTGTTGCCCTCCTCTGGACATGTTCCAGCTTGTCTATATCCTTCTTAAATTGTGGTGCCCAAAACTGAACACAATACTCTAGGTGAGGTCTAACCGGAGGAGAGTAAAGTGATACCATCATTTCATGTGATCAGGACACTGTACTTCTGTTGATCCTTGTCTGAAGCCTTATCTGAAACCACTGTAGTTACCATGTTTTTCTTATGCAACCATTAAAATACAAAACTTACCCTTAAATATTGCAGCTAGGAAATTACCTGTGCTATTAATCTTGCATTGAAGGCTGTCTGGTAGTAAAACAACAGATTCTGATCCTGTTGAGCTATGATTCTGTTATTACAAACAGTTCAAAATATAGGTGAAGATTTTACAGATTAATCCAAGAATTCAAAGTGGGCACATGACAATTGGTTAGTGCAGAATGCTGCATTAATAAACATTATTATTCCTTTTGGCATGGTGTTTGTAAAGTTTTGATTATCATACCTCAGTTTTGAGTTCTGTACCAGTACATGTCAATAGCGAATTCTCTGGACCACGAACCTCCATGTTTAACAGACCGGGCCATGTTTAACAGACCATGTTCCCTTTAAATGTCTTTTGCAAAGCTGCACTTAATGAGTGAAGACCAAGTGGTGACATCACCCACTTCTGGTTCACTTGTGAGCCAGAAATGGGTGAAGTCGCCACTTCGCTTTCACTTGCATGCTTTGCAAAAGCTGTTTCAAGGGAACACATTCCCTTGAAACGGCTTTTGCAAGCCCAGCCAACACAGACCTTATGAACATCCTGGGCCCCGGTCCATGGAAAAATTAGGTCCGTGTTCTGGTCTGGGCCCCTCCCTAGTCACACTTCTAATAACTGCTGAATGTCCAAGTTATACCCTAGGAAGTGCAAGAAAAAAAGCTGATGTGGATAAAGAGCCTCTTACCCTTGGAAATCAAGCCATTTTGGAAGAATCCCTAGAAAGGGTAAGGAGATGATGGCTTTCATGTTCTGCTTATTTCTGGTGGAAGTCCTTCATATCTCTCTTTTGTTGAGAAATAATTTTTTATATCTAGGACCCCACTATTGCTTTATGTTCTGGTTCCTTTTATCAAATGTTAAAATGTATTTGTTTACATGTTATGGTTTTATTTGCTTTATTGCAGTTTTTTACTTCTAGTTATGTTAACACTGTTGATGTTTTTGTTGTTTGTTGTTTTACTTCTGTTGATTAACTTGCTTCAGAAGCCTTATAACTATGAAGAAAAGCTTAAAACACATTTTGTGAGGCCTCAGTTGATACTCAAAAATTGTAGTTGTCTCCAGAGCTGATGAAATCAGGATTCTGCACACAGTCAACCATTCAGTTCCTTTTTTGCTTTTACAAATGCTGGTTTTGTTGCTGTTTACCTAGCCCACACTGTAGTGAGGGTGGCACCAGGGGAATACCATGGGATCTGTGTTTATACATAATAAGAAGTCATAGTTAAAACTAACTTTGGCTAATAAAACTTCAAACCATGATTTCAGATTGTGTTTTGAGAGTTAGAGTGAAGTGGATTGCCAGACCATCATCTTTTTTTTAAAAAAATATTTATTTAGTTTTTTAGTATACAGCCAAAAGCAATTTTATACATATATATTCATGTTTTTGAGGCCTTACACATGATATATTTTCCCCACCATTTATACACTCTCAACCACTTTCTTTGGAATATTGTTTCATCTTTGCCACGTAATTGCATTGTTAGTTTATCCAGTTCAGCTATTTCCAGCAATTTCTTTGCTATTTCTATTCTAGAGGGTAGTTTTTCCGTTTTCCGGCACCTTGCTACCATTATTCTTGATGAGGTTAAGATGTATGTTAGTAAATATTTATCGTCTTGGTCAAAATTATCGGGGATAATATTTAACAGATATGTTTCAAGTACCATTTTTAGGTTCACATTCATTATTTCTAATATCATTTGTTTAACGGTTTTCCAAAATTTTTGCATATTATAACATTTCCACCACATATGTATAAACGTTCCTATATTGTTCTTACATTTCCAGCAGTTCTTCGAGATTTTTGGTGCACATTTTGCAATTCTATCAGGTGACAAATACCATCTATGGAACATTTTGTATATATATTTTTTGTAAGCTGTTCATTGTCTTCCATATTTTGGCCCAATCATCAATATCTATAGTATAACCTATATCTTTAATCCAAGCTATCATTGAGGGTTTAACCATCTCATCTTGCATGTATCTTTCTAATAGGAACGTATATATTCTTTGTATCAGTTTGTCGCTGGTTGACAACCATATCTTATCTAATTCGTTGTTTCCCATAAAAAAAGCCTGTAGTTTTACCTTTACTATATATGGATTGCAATGGAACCGATTCCCACTATGTTAAATTAATATTCACTGTAGCTAAATTTTTGATCTTATCTTTTTTTATCTAGTAGAGTCTCATATGTTTTTATCTTATCTTTTGTCAGAAGTGTCGGCTTAATAAATGCTTCGAGTGGGGAGACCCATCTTGGTATTTTCTCGTAGTATTTTTCTTTCAGATTTTGCCAGTATTTAATCAGTGCTCCCCTTATTATATGCTGAGAAAAATTTGAATGCACTTTATCTTTATTGTACCAAATATAGGCATGCCAACCCAGAGCCAGACCATCATCTTAAACCATGTCTGAACCAAACCAATCAGTGTTTATCTAACTGAATTGGTGCTACAAAATATGTTTGGTCCTTACATGTCTTTCTAGATAGTGCTGTCTGAAGAGTGATGTGCGAACACAGTTCCCAATAGAAATTCCGTTTTGTCAGATTCTCTCCTTCTCCTTCAGTGGGGGAAGGCATCCACACTGGTTAGGCCATGCCTCCTCTCGCTCCAGGCAGGGCTATGCAAATTTTTGAGCATGCCCAGTAGGACAGAACATGGGTGTCCCTCCAGTTCGATAGCCCTGCTGCTTCAGGAGGGTCGTCAGAGCCTAGCTCTACTCTCTACTTCAGTTACAAAGAAAATAAATAAATAAAAAGGAGAAGTTAAAGATGGACTAGAAGTCTTCAAAAAGGGCTCCGGTCGCAGGACCCTCAAGGAAAAGTGTCCCTCATCAAGGCAAGCCATGCCCGCCCAAGGTCTTGGGCAAAGGGAAAGGGCTGCAGGACGCTGACTTGGCATCAGGACGAGGCGAAGAGCAGGCGGGTGCCCCTGAGGCCTCGGGGAATCACCTAAGCTTAAGCAGATCTGCCTCCAGGCAGCCAGAAAGGGAGGGGGAGGAGGGGCAAGCTATTAAGAGTATGGCTGAAGGTTCCATGGCAGCAACTGTCGGTGAGTTTCCTGCAGCCCCACCAAACACCTTTAATCCTTCCTCACCGGTTCAAGACCCCAGGCTCAGCGGAACAGCCTATTATGGGGCGCCTTTCATCCCAGCCTTTTTCACCATGGCGGGACCCACTGCCATGGCCAGTGCAAGTATGGGGTCCGTGCCTCCCCCCCCCACTATGTTTGATCAGTCCCCTACATACTGGAATACATGGAGGGCAGCCTGGTTCCCACAGGCTATACCTACAGAGTCAGAAGTGCAGCAGAGGGGTCAGTTGGGGGGGGAAAGAGGTCCTTTGGTAAAAAGAAACCAGATAATGATGGGTCTCAGTCTTCACCTCCTCCTAAGAAATCAAGGAGGCTGACTAGTAGACATGATTCAGAGGGGGAAGGGACCCCATCCCTTAGTTATGTGACAATCACTGGCTCAGACAGAGAGGAAGGTGAACGGTCTGGGGAGGACTCTGACACAGAAGAAAGCTCTACCAGATTTCAGAGATTTCTTAAGAAGGTGGCCTCAACTCTTAACTACAAGGTAGAGACAGAGGTACAAAAGACCTCCAAGACCACTCCTGACCTGGATACCAGAGGCTTCAAGAAGCCAAATAAACAATTAAATGTCCTTTTCCTGAACATTTTGAGGAGGTTATCAGGTCAGAGTGGGCTGTGCCTGGGGGTGGTTCAACCTTACAAACCATCGCCAAAAGGTTTTATGTCCTTCTGGATAAGATCATGGAGGACTTGAAGGCACCTTTAGTGGATGCTCTGGTTGTGGCACTACACTCAGGAGCGGTCCTATCAAAATATGGGGACAATGTACTAAAAGATACAGTGGATAGGAAAGATGAGACAGTGCTAAAGAGAGCACATGAAGCAGCATCCTTGTCCATCAGAGTGTCTGCAGTTTTCTCAAATTTCACACGTGCCATAGTGATTTGGTCTGACAATCTGCTTCAGGATCCTGAACCAGATCCACTCACCGTAAAGAGATCCCTGCTCAAAATAAAGCATGCAGCCCAGTTTGCAGCAGATGCCTCTCAGGATAGCTTACAATGTTCCGTTAGATCTCAGGCAGCTAACGTGGTGGTGAGAAGGAATCTATGGCTCAAGCAGTGGGATGTGGTCTCACTTTCAAAATCAAACCTGTCCACAGAAAAGTTTTCGGGAAGGCTTCTATTTGGCGAAGGTCCTTTGGAGAAGGTGTTAGTGGAGACCAAGGAAAAGAAGCGAGCTATGCCGTCATCAGCTGATTCCAAAAAGGACTTTAAGCCAAGAGCCTTTCAGTCCTTTCACCTTTACAAGCTGCCATTCAGAGGCAGAGATTACAGGGACAATAGAGGAGGCTGTTTTTCCTCCTCCCAGTCAAGATTTCGGAGTAAGCAGTTCTCCGGACCCAAGAAGGACTACAACAGTCAAGGGAAAAAGCCAGCAGCATGACTCCATGATAGGAGGGAGGCTGCAAGATTTCACCCCACAATGGGGAAGGACCACTTAAGATTCTTGGGTCCTCTCCATTGTTTCCCTCTATGCTGAGTTAGTGTGAGCTAGCTCACAGTTTTTTAGCCTCCGGCTCACACGTTTTATCAAGGGAAAAAGCCAGCAGCATGACTCCATGATAGGAGGGAGGCTGCAAGATTTCACCCCACAATGGGGAAGGACCACTTAAGATTCTTGGGTCCTCTCCATTGTTTCCCTCTATGCTGAGTTAGTGTGAGCTAGCTCACAGTTTTTTAGCCTCCGGCTCACACGTTTTCGTCTTCGCTCAGGGAGGATGGCTCCCAAGAAAACTAATTTATGCAGTAGCCAAATCGCTTGCTCACAGCTTTAATGCCAGTAGCTCACAAAGTAGAATTTTGCTCACAATACTCCACAGCAGAGGGAGCATTGGTTCTCTCTATTTTGGAGTCTGGGTACAAGATCCAGTTTTCATCACTACCCCCATATCATTTTATTCATTCTCCAGTTCCAAGCAATTTGAGCAAGCTGATACATATGAGGGAAGCCATCCAGCACCTGTTGGACATTGGTACGATAGAGACAGTCCCAACTCAGCAGCGCTTCCAGGGAGTGTATTCTATCCTTTTTCTTGTCCCATAAAAATCAGGAGAATGGAGGCCCATTTTGAACCTCAAAGAACTCAGTGTTTGGGTGGTTCAACTGAAGTTCCGCATGGAATCTTTAAGCTCCATCCTTCAAGCTTTACATCAGGATGATTTCTTGGTCTCCTTGGACCTCAAGGAGGCATACTTACACATACCACTACATCCAGAACATCAGAAATACCTGCATTTTGCATTTCACGAGGAACATTACCAATACAGAGCGCTGCCTTTTGGTCTATCATCGTCACCTCGGGTGTTCACCAAGGTCCTGGTGACATTAATAGCATCACTG